GGTGTTACGGCACGTTTCCCGTACACGGCGGTGTTACGGCACGTTTCCCGTACACGGCGGTGTTACGGCACGTTTCCCGTACACGACGGTGTTACGGCCCCTTACACGACCCTTCAGATTCCGCCAAGCATCTGATATACACGACAACAGGAGGGGCGGGGTTGAACCAATGGGTTCGTCGGGAGGGATTAACTCTTTACTTCCTCTTTGGAGAAGGAGAGATTTCGGCGGGAGGCGGAGGCCTGTTCCCCGTCCCCCCGGCAACTTCACACATTCAGAGTTTAGCGCGTTCAGTGTCGTTACAAGGACCGTCATAATATTGACATATATATATATATTATCTATATATCTAATCTATATAGCGGGAGTCTATATCATGCCGCTATGGCGTTGTATGTTTCCAGATCTTCCAAATCCAAGATTCCTGGATTACGTTTTTACATCCCAGCTCCAATTTTTTCCCCATACGCATATAGGTTGGCTACCCCTTTCGTTTTCCATATGGACTGAAATTAGATTTCCCACACTGTGCCATCTGAACCCAAACCAAACTTTGCTTGGATGCGCTCCCAAAATACAAGCTCCTACTACAGACTCCCTATACTACTCCATAATGAAACCAATACAGTAGCCCCCGCTTCACCAGGACAGGTCGGTAACCATATTATAGCTAGGTAAATATGCTCAGGGGTTAAATCATCATAACACCGAATATCATTCACGCATGATAGATACTCGCAGTCAATAGCACTACAGAGCGAAATGACTGATAATGTATGTGTTTCATACCAAAGCAGAACTTGGAAAGATGTCAAACGATTCTCGCAAGTCACTCGGTTTGTCACTTTCAAACCTGCATGGTAGAAGTACAAGCCATAGTAACAAAACATCAACAACAACAACAACAGCAACAATAACAACAAAGACAAAAACAACAACGACGACGATGACAACAACAAAAACAACAGCGACGATATATATACATATGCATAAATTGACAAATGCGATAAATGTACATGCGCGCAAGTGCAACAAAATACAAATGTGACAGACTTCCGTTTCCGATTCGATAGAAACAAATAAATCGATAAAATCAAAACTAATATAATTAGTTTAGCTTATTGATATATTTATAGATAGATTCTTGTAAACTCACGTCTGCGTTCCCATTTTCCTGTAGCCGGCATTTTCGCCCGGTTGTTGTATATATTTCATCTTCACATCGTGAGGAAGCTCAAAGAACTTACGGCATGTCCGCATCAATTCGTCCACCTGTATTCGCATTTGTTGCACGAAAATATTATTAAGAGAAATATCACGATCACAGGTTTATCCAAACGAACGTATACGCGCACGCACGCACGCACACACGCACACACGCAGCACGCGCGGACGTACGCACGCTCGGATGTACGTACGCACGCACGCACGCACGCATGCACGGACGTACGGACGCACGGACGAACGAACGTACACACGCACGCACGGACGGACGTACACACGCATGGACAGACGCACGCACGCACGGACGTACGCACGCACGGGCGCACGCACGCACGCACACACACGCAGTACGCGCGGACGTACGCACGCACGGACGTACGTACGGACATACGCACGCACGGACGCACGGACGCACGTACGCACACACGCAGCACGCACGAACGGACGTACGCACGCACGCACACACACAGCACGCACGGACGTACGCACGGACATACGCACGCACGGACGGACGGACGCACACACGCAGCACGCACGGACGGACGTACGCACGGACGTACGCACGCGCGCACGGCCGCACGCACGCACGCACACACACGCAGCACGCGCGGACGTACGCACGCACGGACGTACGCACGGACATACGCACGCACGTACGTACGTACGCACACACGCAGCACGCACGGACCGATGTACGCACGCACGCACACACGTAGCACGCACGGACATACGTACGCACGCACACACGCAGCACGTACGGACGTACGCACGGACATACGCACGCACGCACGGACGTACGCACACACGCAGCACGCACGGGCTGACGTACGCACGGACGTACGCACGAACACACACACACGCAGCACGCGCGGACGTACGCACGGACATACGCACGCATGGGCATACGCACGCACGCACGGACGTACACACGCATGGACATACGCACGCACGCACGCACACACGCACACACACACACACGCAGCACGCGCGGACGTACGTACGTACGGACGTACACACGGACATACGCACGCACGGACGCACGGACGCACGTACGCACACACGCAGCACGCACGAACGGACGTACGCACGCACGCACACACACAGCACGCACGGACGTACGCACGGACATACGCACGCACT